TTGCACTATCAAACAAAGTGCACCTGTAAGATCATTGAACTGGAAGGGCGTCTAGACAGTTTGTGTGGGGCTATTATTAGATTGACTATTGAGAGTATTCAGAGGGTGATGGGGCGACATCATTGAGACAAATACAGAGTGGCGTTATGAGCCTATAAAGCTGCACTCTCTGCAGTGATTTTGGACTGATCGGAGTCGCGTTCGTTTGCGCACGAAGTTCCAAGAAGGACTGAAGAACAAAGTGGGCCTAATCTCACCCCTGTCAGTCACCGAAATCAAGAGGGAAGCAGAAGCGGGAAAACCAGGGTTCGATTCCCAGAAAATGTAACCACAGAAAGACTGCGGAATCAGGCGTCTTGGAACACACCAGCCGCGGTATCCGTAAGTGTGGATTACGCTTTTGAGTACTAGGCCTAAATACACTGAAGTTTGGATGCCCTTGGGTCAATTTCAGAAAGGTACCAAGCCCACATTTTTATTAAAAACCAGTGAAGTCAGTTGGATAGTTCAGCATTTTGCAGAGTACTACGATCTTGCAAAGACAAAGAAGGCTTTCCACTTGGCATTTCCACTATATTGAAACCTGAGATGGTCCAATGGCGACGCAGTACTTCCTAAAAATTTGAGGAAAAAAATGGGGAAAGGAAAGCAAATTCTAACCTTTTTGGCGCGGCGGAGTTTTGACAGAAGTTTTGCGTATTCGCTCTGAGCAGCTGCGAACGCCTGTCTAGCTTGTTGGGTCTCACTGAGCCCGTCAGTCCCGAGGCAGTGAAAATGGTCATTCTTCCATCTGGGTATTAAGAAGACAACAATTTCAAGTCATCGTGAGCTGTGTATTGGCTGTCGAATTTTGAAGATGCTGGTTTTGGGGAATGCAGCGAGTAATTCGTAGTTTTAGTGTGGAACTGGTCTCTTATTAACAACACTTTAAAATTCTATTTCTTTGCAAAATGCTGACCTTTAAGTTGTTTTCAAGTATCTGATAATTTTAGCTCAAACTGTGGCCTGTGAAAGAGCAAAGTACAAAACTGTTTAAATGTCATGTTTATTCAGTTCGTTGGCTCTTTTCTCGTAAAGGAGTTTACTTGTACACGTTGAAGTACGGCCCCTCTTCCCCAGTCAGCCTCAATCGGCAGTCCTCGTGGATCTTTGCCACTGCCGAAGCCTCTTGCAACATCGTACGCCAAGCGGTCTGCACGCTCCCGTATTCTGGGCCTGTTCGTAACATTTACACAAGAAAGAAAATTGCCAAAAAATGAAGTAGCAGCCTCCGAAGCTAAGACGCACAAGAGCATCAAAACAATGATTCCGCCCGGGTTCGAACCGGGGACCTTTCGCGTGTAAAGCGAACGTGATAACCGCTACACTACGGAATCTCCTTACTGCCAACCATGCATTTGAGTTCATATATTTTTTCTGTCTTTTGGCTGGCATTTTACTATACTTTAAAATTTGCATGTAATTGACGTATCGTTTATCCATTCATGGAGGAAAATTACGTTTTACTACTTTCGTATGATGGATGGAGTGTACATTTTGGGCACTCAAAACCCCCTTTCTCAGTCACCTTTCTCCTTTCCCTAAGTCTTGTCGACCATATTAATCGTTCTCAAAACCTCTTAGCGTGAGCGACTTGGCAATTTTGTAAATTACCTTGCCTAAAAAGATATTGCATCGACTGGGAATCGACCCCGGTTTTCCTGCATGGCAGGCAAGATTTCTACCGCTGAACCACCGATGCCTTACCGTAAAAGCGGTGAAACGGGCTTGCCATATTTCAGTTACAGTAATGTGGCTTGTTAAAAATGGTAACAGCATTTTTGCCATGTGGCGGCAAACACCATTAAGGGCTCCGAGCTGGACCAAGAGAGGGCACATCGCTGGTTCACAAACGACTAAGAATCGCAAGCGTTGCAGTCGCATCGCTACCAACAAAATGAACACTCCTGACGTGACAAACATGGCTCTTTTCAACCGATGAGGGGTGCATTTGCTCGGGACAGGCACTGCATAGATAAAGTCTAGCTGGATGCCTACTAAATAGACTATAAAGGCTAACCCTGAGGTCTCAGTCCAGCCTGTCTTTATAGAATAGAAGTAGATTTATCATTCCTCTGCTCTTTAATGGAAGTTGTTTCAGTCAGTTCAACCTTCTGCTGATCGTTGATTACGGTAAGGGGCATATTACTCTCTCACCCCTTCTCAGAGCGTCGTCCCATTTGGCGGCCCACTGTCTCAGACTCCTGGCATATCTCAACTCCACGTCGGCCCGTTCCTGAATCATACCCATTAAATCATCACATGACCTACACCAGTAAAAATGCAGAAAACGTGTAAACTCATTAACAGACTAACATGACGATACACCAAGACATTCTATTTTCATGAGACTGCGATGTGATTAACATATAAGGAAAATTGTTTGTCAACAAAATAGGCCTGTTTAGTTTCAGACATTCTTATTTACGCGTAAGACAACCTTGATTTCTCTGCCTCAACGTAATGAATTATTCCCACCTTTGTCCATTCTCAATTCTTTCCAAGACTTTCCGCGGCTCGCCAATGTCCCAGAAGGACCCACCGTCTCGTTCCTCTCCCATTTTGTATCCTACGTACTAGTCCATGACTTAAATTTCAGTTTGGTGCCCAAAAGTCGACAAAATACAATAGTTATGATCACGGTGACATTCACCGAGGAACGTAAGATGCATGCCCTTCATGTTAAATTGTAACCAATGACGACGTCTTCTGGCAACCACGTGATGAATGGAAAACGAGAGAAACAAAAGTATTCCTTTAGAATCATTTCTTTGATTGAGCGTCCGCGCAAACGCACCGCGCGCCCTGGTTACCACATATCACCGCGCATAATCGGCTGCGTTTATCACGATGCTTCCTCTCCCGTTACTCCATTACATAAAAAAAAACCCCAATAAATTTGGACGTTACCTTTTACTATTTTTTTCAAAATTGATTTCGAAGCAAAAATGTGGCAAAAAGGGGGAATCAACTGGATTAGTGATATCAAGACTGTTATCGAGTAAATTGACGCTTATCAACGCTATTCATTTTCCACCGGCAAGTTTGTGTCACGAAGCATTGCAGACTGATTCTTATTTCTCGCTGAATATGTTAATAAACCCCTTGCACACGGTACTCTGTAATAATTCATTCACTGTGAAAGAATTGAGATTAGGTTTCGCCAGAGGGCGCAATGACAGCCGACTGCATCTTCGCATCTGCTATTGCACTGACAGACTTTGCTGAAAGCCCACTCAGCAACACATGCTTATCATTGAGAGTGTTTACATATAGTCATTGAAGTATTAACAGCCTATCACGGCATGTAAATACACGGATACGATAGGTGGGGTGACCACCTGTACTTTGTGCAAGATCTCGTACTCAACATTACGTAAAAATCACACTGCCCACTTCTAGCTAAACAACCCGGATTTGCGAGCTGGTTGCCGGGGTGTGCAGTGTTTGGCTGTAGTTGTCAACAGCTTCCACTCAACCCTGAATGAAGCAACCTACAAACAATGCTTTGAAGTATAGGCATCCAACTAGAGGGATTTTTACATTTTTGTCATCTCCATAATAACGTCATCTCTATAAGCAATATAGCCGATCATTGATCAGAAAAAGTTGCGCTTGTTTATTTATTGTTAGATTGATTTTAAATGGTTTTCACCTGTTACCGGATATGCGACTGTTCATTTCGAGTCCCTCCACTATTCCAGGCTAACTCATTCTGTGTAAGGCTGAGCCAGTGGTTAGATTACTCATTTCAATTTGACTGGTTTGCTAAGCATGGTCTGTTTGTTGCTTTTTTGTTTGGTGCCTACCGGCACCAAATTTATGTGCTGAGCAGCTGGCTCTGAAGCTTAAGCAAACTCAGAATAAATAACTGATATATAAATTGGCCCGAAAGAATGTGACCAAGATTGCTGGAGAAATAGGAACGAAAGTGGCATTTTGTGGTTTGCGAATAGTTAAGGAATGGTCAGAGAAGAACCTAGAACTTATGGAACATTCTGCTCTCCTATGCGCTAACCATTTCCAGAAAGCAACTGTTTGGTATCTTTTATCTCCTGTCGAGGGGTTGAATATCTGTGCCGTGGGGGTAAATTTTAATGCGATTTTGAAGCCGTTTCGATTATTCAAAATAATGAGGAAAAACTGTGTGCCATGCCGAATGTCAGTGTATTCGGAATCGAACAATAAAAATGTGTATCAGCCTTTAGCGGATTTGAGAATCCATCTTTGGTTCTGCCAACCATGAAACCCCCACTCGACATCAGGAGCTCGTTTTCATAAATAAATGGGCATCAAAGAAAAGGCAATAATCGAGGTATTTACAAGACAACTGTAGCTATAAACATTTTGCGCTTGGTAATTATTGGCGATGATTCCCTGCATCGCCCGGAAGCAGCAGTACATTGTACTCTTAATCATATGTACAGTCAAGGGCTGGCACAGCTGCAAGTGGTCTTTGTGGGGTGGATTTAGCTGGGGGGTGGTAAGGGACATGCAACTTTGACGTTCTCAAAATATTTGTGCTTAATTTCCGAATGGGACACGTTGCCAACTGGACTTAGCAAAGTTGGCTTTGCTGCAATTAAATGTCACGCGAATGATTGATAAAGGGAATGTAAGCACGTTTCAAAACGTGCGATCATTATTGATGAATCTAAGCGAAGAAATTGGCTAATTTAATTGGGAGAACAGAAAGTAGTTGAGATGTTAAAATGGGGACATCAAACACAACAGATCTGTGGGGATTTTCGCGTGATAATGGAATGCTGTGTTACTTAGTGCTGAACTTAAATGGCTGTTTACAAAACACTTTGGTTTTCTGTACGATTTGACCAGATACAAGTCGCCATCTGAAAACAAATATCACAGATACGACACTCAACCAACTCACAAATAGTAGGTTCTGCGAAAAGGGGGCCGAAAAAGCATGGATTCTTTCAACAGCAACTCAAGTGCAGTACAGATCTTTCCAATGGGCTTCAGTTTGACAAGATTAGGCGGCTGACATCATGCATGGGCGTAGTCAGGCAGGGGCCGGAGGAGCCGGTTTTTTTGGGGGGGGGGCGAAACACCTGCTAGAAGCCATTATTACGGTGCCAGGGGTCAATTCGGAGGAAATCCCAAGCAAATTGCAGGTACTCCTCTTCTTTCCTCCTTTCCTTTCCATTTCTGTCCCTTTTGCTTTTCTTTTCAAAGGTTTTACCTTTTCCTTTTCCCCCGCGGACTGGGACTGAGTAGACCCCCACCCCGCAACATGTATGGTTGACACAATCACCTGTTTGCTTCTCATCCATGTATGTTTGCGCATCACCAAACAATAATTGGGAATGAGAGAGGCTCTTTATACACATGCGATCTGGGGGACACCTGAGCCACTTCCTTTCTGCCCCTGGTCAGATAAATAACATAAACGCTTATGGAGCATTCAACCACAGCCGGTCGGCGGCGGTGTAATCCCAAAAACAAATACGTACTCCACAGCAATAATAATTTGTTCTGTGTCTGCACTTTCTTCTGAAACGGTCGCAAAAGCTGAAATGATCCCCGTATTATGTCAACAGTAGTCGCGCGAGCCAGCAGCGACAGCGGGCCGTGCATCGTAACAAGCCACGTGCGTGCCCAATTTGCAACCACTGCTTTATCCTGTTCTTAGTTTGTTATTGAAGAGCAAATTATTCAGAGCAATTTCGCATCCGCATCCATGCTTAGGGCGGCGTGGGTACGTGTGTAGACTCCAAAATGTAAAGAGCACAATGCCACTCATTACATTTCTTGTGCAGGGGCGGATTCCGAAATTTTTTTTTGGGGGGGGCACTGAATAAACAAATGTTAATGTTTTAACACCTTCCTTGTAACACTTTATGAACGCGTCGTGTTAACCACTTAATTAACAATCCAATACGCAATCACGTTGATGCGTTTATTTTCTAAACAAAGACGAGTTGATAGACACAAAACCATGTTTATAGGGAAATATAACACTTTCTGAACACCAAAACACGTTTATTTCAGTAAAGGTGTTCAATTTTAAACGGCTACATGTTATTACAAATACAAGTTTTTACATGTTGTTACAATTAACGCAAAGACGCGTTTGTAGTAGGCGTTGGTTTTTATAGTGTGTAATGTTGGAGATTTTGTTTACCGTCTCATTTTTGCGGACAAGCACAAACGACGGTGAAACATTTTACATGATTTACACTGTTAACAGTGCAGTGGCACTGGTGCACTTATTCAAATTTTATTTTTTATTAAATCCCCTATTTTGGTTTTCGTTGTCTTAGAGCAGGGGGTCGACCCCCCCCCCACGGCACCTGTTGCGGTCCCTATCCACTCTGAGCGGAACAAAACAGGGCGTGTTTTTAAATGAAATGACAGTCCTTTTGGTACCAACTTACCGCGTAGGCGCGCCAGTTTATGCGCGTTTGACGCAGAGTATGCTGAGTGCGCGCAACAAATTCCGGAGCGTATGGTGTTTGCGTACACGGAGAACGCGTGCAAGAACCCGGTTTTAACCATCTATCTTTCTTTCGCCGATTGGGGGTGCACTTCAGCTTGGGGTGGATTACGGCCCTTTGGCGAGTGATGGTTTAACGTTTACACGCAACTCTCTTGTTGTATATCAGTCTGACCCTTGAGATGCAGAATCACTCGAAAAGATGCAGACTTGATTCAAGGGTGGAGGGCCACTCGAAAAGAGTAATCCCTCATAATGTTTTTCCCTCTTGGACATTATGGGAGCGTTCGAGCGAGCTACTCGCGTTAACACGAGTATACTCCCGAGCGCTCGAACGGCTGGAGTACGACCCGAGAGTCAGCGAGAGTATGCTCTCGCCAGAGGGGGAGTATACTCCCGTACCCGAGTGTAATGCGCACGCATCCTACTTGTGTTAACAGGAGTAACCCCGCGAACGCAC